GATACGGTGGCTGCGATGATGGGCTCAAGTATAGCAGGGATTGTGGGGCTGGCGCGGGATCGGGCAGTGTTTTGTTCTGCTGTGCATGGGGTCGCTATAAGTCAGAAACGACTCGACGGCACTTAACAACAACAACAACAACAACAACTGTCCTCAGTTCTTATTTCAACCATTTCACTTTTATCACTCTCTATTCAATATGGCCCCATAACAAAATAAAGTCAAAATGTCAGCAGGACAATTAAAATTTAAGAAAGGAGGAAAACAGATAGGGAAGCTGTCTTACTGCTCGTCTTTGCTTTCATCCTTTTTATTGACAAAAAACTTTAAGTCTGAACCAAAATGAAAGAACTGAAGAAAGAAAGAAACATTGTTCTCCATTTTAAAATACAGGTCATAGTCATGTCCTTCTTAGATGAAAGAAAATTGTATATACCTACTTTCTTCTTTATAATCTTAGAATTTTAGAGACTTCTTCAAAATAATGAGAGGTAAGATCTTGTTTGCTGATTATTCTAGATATTATTTGCAAAATACGTCCCTGAAATTGTGGAACTTTTTGCTAACAAGAGGAAATACACACATTCCTATGATGTGGTCAAAGGGAAGAAGTAAGTATCTTTTCAAGTATAATTTCTACTTGATTCTCTCTCCTTCTAAACACCTGATAGTATTGTCTTATCTAGCTGTAGAATAAAAGGTGAATATTTTGATAAGAGTATGCATTCATTAATGAGAGTGTGCTAACATAAAATCCACAAGAGGGTATTTGACACTTGATAGAAGTACTATATTTTCATTTTGATCATAAGAGCAATAAATCATTTAAAATGATAGGTAATGTTATAATTTGCTGTCAATAAGTACTACTCAATGTGACAATACTTCTGTAGTCCTCATCACCAACTGTTCTGGTGCTGTTGAGTTGGCTCTGACTCATAATGACCCTATATACAACACAATGAAACACTGCCTGGTCCTGTGCTATTTTCACAATCTTGCTATATTTGAGCCCATCATTGCAGCCACTGTGTCAATCCATCTCATTGAGGGTCTTCCTCTTTTCTGTTGACCCTCTACTTTACCAAATATGAGATCCTTCTCCAGGGACTAGTCCCTTCTGATAATAGGACCAAAGTAGTTGAGACAAAATCTCACTTCCAAGGAGCATTCCAGCAGCACTTCCTCCAGGACAGATTTATTCATTCTTCTGGCAGTCATGATATTTTCAGTATTCTTTGCAAACACCACAGTTCAAAGGCAGCAACTCTTCTTTGGTCTTCCTTATT